TGATAGTCGACTAATTGTGGCAGCCCTACTAACAGGAATTAAAGGCTCACTTGATTGTTGCCAATCGATGCTTAAGTATCTGATATCTGTTGTTTTTGTGCTGAATACACTCGCTAACTAAAGGAAATTGCTTTCATTGTTTATTTACTCACTGCATAAATTAAAGGCTTGTCAGCCTGAATCTGAGAACAATGACAGCAGTCTATGGCTTTTACCACAATGAAAAGGAGATTTCATATTTAGCAACGTTTTCCTCACCATACGTCCCTTTGGTGATTTCTCTGCAGAAGCCAGCAAAGCCTCTGGACTCTGATGGCCAAATGCCCTTGTGTGTGCTTAGTATTCAGGAGAGGGCTGATCAACTTGCTTTACAATTTGAGGGCAAGCCAGTCAAACAACAGGTGACTCGAACTATTGACACAGACGGATGATTACAGGTTTAAATATTTGTACATTTTTAACAAAAGCACTTTTTTTGGGTCAACTTTGTCTCACCTAAGTCTTTAACTGACTCTAGAGGAAAGAGAGGCTGTTGTTACAGCAGGATATTACAGAATAAGTAGTAAATCATAATATCTTCTCAGTTGAATACATTAGTATTCTTCTTTAGATTTACTTGAACTTCTAATAACTCTCCTCTCTCCCTCTTTGGAGCCTAAGAAAAAGCCATCACGCTTTTTTATGGAACAGTGGCGCCTGGCCAGCCCCCAGAGTCCCCCTGATTCTCCCCCCACCACGTCTGACACCTTGAGACAGGTAGTCATTTTATGCCTGGAAGGAATGGCGTGTCGTGGCGCTGACACACTAAACGTGCACTTGGTCTGTCAGGAAGATGATGCACCTCACTTTCCAGCACAAGTCGCTTAACGTGATCTCACCTGATGTTTGCTTGAAAGTCGGGCTGCTTGTTTAGAAATGCGAGCAAACTCATTTGTTTAGCACGTTTGCTGTGATTAGTGAGTGCGAGTGATCCGTCACTGTGTCTGAACAGATATTAAAGTAATCTTAGCAGAACTCTGTTGTAATTCCCACGCTTATTTGTACTCAGTAGCTGATTTGGATTTTAAGAGCAGCTTGGCAGCAAAAATCTCATCTAGTGTAATTCCCATGTTGACGAGCCAACTTTCAATTTAGCAGAGCGGTGCACAGTAATAGTTTTCGTGGCTTAGGTTTGCCACATGCTACAGTCGACCTAGATTCTTCCCTTTTTAAAGCTCTTTGAGGTTTCATAGATTGAAATCTAATCCTGGTGTAGATTAATTCAGAATTCGACCCAAAGATGATCTCATATGCCAAACACTTGCTGAATTTGGGAATTAGCAACGCAGCTTTGCAGATTTTTGCAGATTTTTGCAGATTATTGCAGCTCGTTTATATTTACGGTGCAGCATGAGTGACTTTGTGTGTGCAAGCGAATAAAAACTGCATGACTGCTTTAAGCGAGTTGTCTAAACACTCTTTTTCCAAATCCAGCTCTTGGTAGTAAACCCAACATGAAACTTTTGAGGTTTTTCTCAGGAACTGTGTTTGCTGCTTTTGGTGGAGCCTCACACACGTCTGAACACTTGACCAGTCCAGCGTGCAAACGCTTCCTTTGTCTTGTGTAAATTCCCTGTTAGACACCATTGTTTGTCTGCTGTGTTTGAGCACTTGTCGCACACACACCTCTTCCTTCTGTTTTTCACGTTGTTTTTCATCCATCATTTCTAATGTTTCTCTACCTGTCCTCTTATTTTTCTTTCTTTCTCTCATTGTTGTTGATAGCAGTATGTAAGGATGTACACAGGGGGCGTTAGCTCATTGACCGAGCAGATAGCCAGTCAGCTTCAGTCTCCCAAGCCCACACATGTACCTGAAAAGAGGGATTTGGTAAGCACTCGGGTTGTAGAGTAGAAGGCATGTGGCTACACAGATCACTGCAGCGCTTCCCAGAGAGTGTGTTTTTTGCACATTGTGCTCCTTTTACCACATTTGAACTTCCTTCTCTCCCGTAGCTGCAGAGTGTGTTTTCCCAACGAGTCCCTGTAATTTGGACTGCTGCTCGCCTGCAAGCATCCCTCTCTCACTAATGAATAACTTTGGAATTGCTGTATTTTGGAATCATTAGCTTGTAAATAATATCTGTATCCTTCAAACATTTGTAGTGACCTGATGTGAGCGTCTGGCTTAACAATAACTTTCTCCTTGTGCACCAGTTTGAACGTTTCTCTTCATTTATAAATAAAGATTGATTCAGTACTTTTTGCCTTGCAGGGCTCGCTCAGGAAAGAATTCCCTGTCAACATCGGAGGCAGCGATGTTTGTTTCTTCTGCCGAAAACGCGTGTACGTGATGGAAAGGCTGAGTGCCGAGGGGAAGTTCTTCCATCGCAGCTGTTTCAAGTGCGACTACTGCGGCACGACTCTACGACTGTCCTCTTATGCGTTTGACGTCGAGGACGGTAAGCTTTCCAAATGGTTTCAGCCCCACGTGTGCTTATATTCCATTAACTACAAGGTGAAATAGACTGAAATGATCTTGAGTACGATATAATGACTAAAGTGTAAAGCTGCAAAGATGATTCTTCGTTTGAAGACATACAATCTAGAAACGATTTTGACTGTGTGCACGTTTGCTGCCCTCCTGTGGTGTGATCACGCTACGGCCTCTCAGCCTGTTTTTTTTTTTTTGAGCCGAGGAATGCAGCAGAGCCATCTTCTGACTCAAAAAATGAAGTTACAGCCACATAATTTTTTCAAAATGTATTGGTTTTAAATATGTAAAAGACAGCTGTAGGAGATTTTTGCGGTAACCCCCACCTCGGACTCAGTGCAGTCTTATGATTCCATATTTTTCCACGCTGGGAGGTGTCTATTGTGCTCAAGGACAGGCAACAGATTGTTCAGTGGGACAGTAGCTTTTTCACGGTCAGCTGTGGGAACAGAACCTCCTGATTTTTCTGAATGCACTTGAGACAAAGGAATTGTTTTTTCCTGACAGAGTAGATGCAGCCCACAGACTCCGTGAGGTGAAATTTGCCTAATGCGTTTATTTGCTTATGCTCTGTGTGTCTCCTACAGGAAAATTTTACTGCAAGCCCCACTACTGTTACCGCCTGTCTGGGTATGCTCAGAGGAAGAGGCCTGCTCCCTCTGCTGCTCCAGTCACAGCCAAGGTCCATTTTTATTTACTTGAAGAAATCCTGGTGGAAATCAGGATAGGGCTGGAAAAATGTTCTGAGAGTGCTCTCATATCTCCGATAGCAGGGCTGATGTTAAAATCATTTGTGTCATTTGCAGGAGAATCAGACCCCCCAAATACCTACTACGACCGTGGATGCCCCTGGAAGGGCGATGGCAGCAGCTGCCCCCTCGGCTGACCTCCAACCCTCAGGTACTCGACTTTCCTATCTAGCTGTGGCGGCTGCGCCCTGGCGTCTGGCCGTGGGTGTGGGAGTCCAGCTAGGCACCCTCCGCCGCACTCTCTCCCGGACCTGCCACCAGGTGGCACACAACCCCTTAGATTCTCCCTTCCTGTTTACCTACTGCATCTACCTCTTCTGCTGTTTCACCATCAATGTCCTGCTCAGCCTCCTCTAGCATGACTTTTGTGTCCCTTCTTATTTCCTTCCTTGCTTCCTTTTTCTCTTTGCCGACTACTGTCAGTGGGATGTATTATAGATCTAGTTTGTGTGACCAAAGCTTCAAAATGGTCCTGTAAATACTGTGAGTCTCTCAGTTGCTGAATTATTTCCTGAAGATGCAGCATTCTTTCTGTTTCTGTTGGCAGTCTCTTTATGACTTGTGATTGGCAGATGGATTCAAACAGTGCTCTGGCGCCATAATCTTAGAAGTGAATGGTGCATCTTAAACCTGTTTGTTTCTTGGCTTGGAAATTATAGAGAGCTGCTCAGAATTCCTTCTGGTCAGCTCTCCAGGCAGCACCATTAACCCTTTGCATAGACCTCCTCATTGCTATTCTGGCTTTTACTGTGAAACGTGGAAGTAAAGTTTAGCTTTCTTAGCCCCCAATCCCCCCCCCAAAAAAAAAAAATATCAGTTACCCACTGGTGTGTACATTCAATCTCTGTATACTGTTAATGATTGCTATAGAGCTGCCTGTTTTTAATGAAGAGCCAAGCTGTACTCTTTGGTGATTGTAACCCCGAGTGGCCTGTGAGTGCTCTTTTTTTAGCTCGACCTCCTCCTGTGTGACGTGTTTGTTTTACTGCCTGCTCTGTGACGTGTTTCTTTCTCTGTAAGTTGTTTTGCACCTATTAGTATTCCTCTTCCTAAAACTCACTATTATATGTGATAAAGTGCCTGTATCAGTGCTGTTGTGAGCTTTACCTTTCCCCTTCCGATCAGAGCATCTTAAAACTGAGAGCTTTACTAGTGCTTGCATTGGTGCTTGGGACTGGAGTTTTGTTTTCACCCCCCCTTCCTCTGCCTTCCTGCATTCCTCAGCCTTTCACCCCCCCGACAGATTCCTGCCAGAACCACTTGTATTTGCTCGACGTAGTGCGTCTCATCTGCAGTAATTGCTTTGCACACTGTAGCTGAATAAAATCACGGATTAGACTAGAGAGAGCTGAAACCGGTAAGCTTTGCAGAAAATTAATATTTGAAACTTTAATAAGTGAAAGTGTTAATAAGTGTAGGCCTGCCGCAATGTGGCAAGTGTAGTTTATAACTGCAGATGCAAGACTTTATTAAATACTGTAGTCATGCTGCAGCCGTGCATACTATAATATATTCTACATTAAGATTAGACAACAAACAACTGCTAATATATTGGTGGAGATTTGCAGTCAGTGTAAAGTACTGTAGAACAAAGCAATACTTTGCAGGTCTATAGGTCCGTCAGATATATGTGCTTGTGCTGCACAGACACCTCCACAAATACATATGCATTATATGGTAAGGACGTCCCATGCTGCTGCAAAGTTCAGCAACTGTGGAGTTCTTGGACCACTAAACCAAAATCAACCACAAAAAAACCTAAACAGACCCCCAACTGCTGACAGAAGTCCAGCCCTGGACTATATCAGATGAAGTAATTACAGTGTTTAGTGATGCAGGTTATTAAAGTATAAATATGTATCAGTTTAAATTTAAGTCTCTCTCTTCTTTACTGTTTTACGTACTTTTCACTTGTTTTTGAGGAAACCTCTATCGTCACATTCATATGAGTCACACATACAAAATAAACAGGATTCAGTGTCAAATATCACACATTTAATGAGATCATGGGACTTTAAAGCAGTGCTAGTGCTCTTTATTTCAATTAGAATTTATCTCTAAGTGACAAGATGACGGCTGTACTTCCATGATAACTCTATTTTAACCCATTTCACTGTCATGAACCTTTGCCAGAGGAAATATTGTCAAAACGTACAGTTTTAAGGTTTGCTTCTCAGAATGGGAACAAGGCAAGGCACCAACCTTGTACATTTAAGTATAGAACAATGGCTCTATTTTAAAGTGTGAAACCTATTTGTGTTTGTTGATCTTATTTGCTGTAGGAATATTATCTAATGCAATAAATTCAGTAATAGATCTTAAATCGGTGTCTCCTTGTCAGTTTGTCCTTAATGTACAAGATTACTTTGGTTAAAGTTCTGGCTGCAGATGTGGATGAAAATGCACCATTTTACTAGTTGGATGTGTGATGGATTTGATGCTGTCGCTGACGTAGCTTCACACATACACTGCCAGAATTTGCATCGGTTTTCACATCAGCGTTCACAAATACATTGGATTTAGTTTGGTCCTGCTTGCACCTGCCTGATCATCACCTGCACGTCTGTGCTCTCTCTCCTCTGCTTTCTTACCTTGATCCTGTACCCCACAGTGCTGGAAGTGAACGGCCTGCAGGAACCGAGCCTAGCTAAACGCCTGAAGGGAACTCCAGAACGCATTGAGCTGGAGAACTACCGTCTGTCCCTGCAGAGGGAGGAGGAGCTGGAGGAGGTGCCTGAGGAGACGCTGGCGGAGCACAATCTGAGCAGTGTGCTGGACAAGGCCACAGATGCTGACCTGGGTTCTAGGTCAGATTTTAACAACATCCGTTAATTTCGTTTTTATGATATTCGGTTTTACCCTTTCTGCCGTTTAGTGTTCAGCGAGTTGTTTAAACGATCTCTAATAAGACTTTAAACAAGTTTCAACTCTTTGGACGTCCTTAAAATAGTCGCGTCACGCAAGCAGCTCTGGCTATGCGCACAGAAGCTCCACCCACTCTTTAAACTTTTTGTTCGTGACAGTTAGCCAATCACGATAAAGTGGGATAGAAAGGAAGTGGGAGGAAGCTAAAAACATCTTAGTTGGGATTTACTGTGGGGGTTCACCAACGAGCGGTTTGTCTATTTTGAATCACAGAAAACTTCTTTGCTAGAGTCCAGAATCCCTCAGGCTGCTGTGAACGTCTCCATACTTGTGCTGTCCTCAAATACTTGCTTCCTTTCATGTTCCCTAACACTTTGCTGACGCCTTTTCTCTACTTTCTGCAGTAGCTCAGAGTCAGACATGGAAGAGGAGGACGAGCAGGAGGATCAAGAAGAGGCGGAGGAGCAGCCTCCCAGCCCGTCAGACCTCGGCGGCGTTCCGTGGAAGGAGGCGGTAGAGCTCCACGCCAAGCTGAGGGGCGATCACTGCGAGGAGGGAGAGGGTGAAGCTTTGGCTGACACAGGCAGCAGAGATGGGGAAGTAGATGAAGAGGACGAGGAGGAGGAGGATGAAAATGAGGCCGAAGAAGATGAGGAGTCGAGCGAAGGTAAATTAGTTTTGCGCTGTTATTCCCGTGATAGTGGAAATTAATGGTTTCTTTATGCTAATGTGTTTACACCCTATCCAGACTTCAGTGGCCTTGACCTCAGAGCTCCGTGTTGTTTACTGTTTCATGTTCTCGTCACTGTCTGAAACACCGAGTCATCCTCTTGTCTCTCTTCTGCTTGTCTGCCATGTCCACATACAATGCACTCGTATGTATCTGTCTGTGTCATTTTCTTTTTTGATTTATTTTTGGGGGGCCTTTGTCTCCCCCTGCTGACAGAGGGGGATTACTGGCCCTGGGATAGAGAACTCCAGTCAGGCCTTTGGCTGGAGAAGTACCTTACAGACGAAGAGGATGTTGGTACATTTAAAGGTAGCAACGGAAGTGCCTGCGGATGTGTTTGCAGTTACTTTGAATAATTCTGCCTTGTTTGGGTTTCATTTTCAATCATTTCTACAAGAAGCGTGCCTTTGGCTTCTTTATGGTTTGGTTTGTTGTGTTTTTATGTGAGTTTTGTGTTCATCGGTGTTCCCTTTTCATTGTCAGTCCCATTCCATCTAACCTCCTGTTTCAAACCTCTGGAGTTCTTTATGGCATTAAAAGACTAATCTGATGAATCAGATCTGATTATCTCCCCCACGGCGCCGCTGCAGTTATGTTTTACAGCTGTGCGACGGAACTGTTATATTTAACAAATGTGTTATTATTTTCTTTTCCAAGCTTTGTACCCTTGAAGCTTACTGTTATGGTTTGGCGTTTTGCAGTGTATTGCATGCAGCCGCCCTTCATTTCTCTTTGATGATTTTTTCCCATTGTCACTGTATAACTGTCTCTCTGCCTTTTCTCTTCCATTTTGCCCTGTTTTCCCCCCTGTTCCTCTTCCTTTCTTCCACAACTACCCTCATCTCTCTTTATCTTCCTCTCCTAACTCACACAACTTTACGCCACGCAAAAATACAAAATCACAACACTTGCGTTTAGCGAGGAGTCTCCACATCCAACAAGTCCTGCAGCCTGTGGATCCCAGCGCCATTCCAGGTTTGAGAGCACATCTGGAGTCTGAGGGAGACAAGGATGATGGCCAGCTGGCCTCAGCCTCCCAACTCTCCCAGCCCTCTGAGCTCACGCAGCCCTCCTCTGCAGGTAACCCACCCGGGGGCCTTTATGCCTGGGAAGGCCGTGGGTCTCGCCATGTTCAGGATCAGGGTGTCTCATTTTGCAAGTGTGGCTGCTGCTGCTTTGTCTGTGTCTGCCACAGGTGGACCCCAGCTTGTTGTTTTGAATTACCTCTGATTTGTACATTTGTGTAACATTGCTTTATTTCTCGGAATGTCTAATTTTGTGTTGAGCCTGTTGTCATTCAGAGTCACTGTTGTTCCTCTGGGGCGAATATAACGCTCTCCAAACGCATCCCAGCGCGCCATTTAACCCTCTCGTCAGTTCCTTTGATTTGATTCTCTTTTGTGTTCTCCCATGTTGTTTCTCATGTGTCTAATTGCTTTGCTGTTATTTCCCCGCCATCTATCCCTCGTCGTTCTGTATCTTCTGGTTTGAATGTAGCCCCTGCCCACACGTCCGCCCGACACGAGGCAGTGAGAGTCTGGTTGGAGTCCCTGTCTGGAGGTAGCACAGACTCGAAAGGGATCCTGACATCCCGTCTTAGACTCCTGTTCTGTCTATCAGCTGGGCTGGCCTCTTTTCATGGAGCATGCATAAACACATGCAGAGACCAGTAAACTCACAAGCATGCCTGCTGTAAGGCTGTCGAGGTTTTTCTCTCCTGGGTTCAGATCAGCACTTGTTTCACCTTTTGTAACCAAACCTTACATTCTACTCTTCTAATTTCCAAAATATGTATTTTCCTTTGCACTTGCTCTGTATGTTATGCTGTAACGTAATATATTCCGGGGAGTGAAACCACAAGGCACCACAGCTTTGGGAGCTCACCTCTTAATGGCACTTGTACTTGCATTAAGTTCACAGAATGTGGGTGTTGAAGTACATTACCAGCTGATTAAGAGCTTGAATGAATTGAATGAGAGTCCTACACCTCTGTTTGAAGTCCTCGTATAAGCCTTGCGTTCAGGGTTAAAGGCCCAGTAAAGACCTCCGGCAGAGATCAGACCAATTACAAAGTTCTTTTAGTAGTTGATGTGCCCGTGCACTCAGATCGGTCACCTAGTAGTTAAAGCTGATATATAAACTGCATGGATAAACTGCCCCCTCCCAGTTTTGCTCGCTAACCACAGTTTAACCAGTAACATTCTGGTTGTGCTTCTGCTCGGATCAAATATTTTCAGCTTACTAATTTAAAGTTGCTGCATGTAGCTGCAGCCTAGCTGCTCCTTTGTTCATATTAAAAGACTTGGACTGTTTGATTTGTATGCAAAAGATTTTCTTTCTTTTTTCTTTTTCTTTTTTTTTGCCCAAACTCTTTCCTAATGCTGTCTGAAGAAAAATAGATTTTGATTTTTAAAATCTACTCACCTTTTTTTCGACCTTTAATGTTTGTATTCGGCTTTTCAAAATCGGCCTCGATAGCTTTCCACCTCACTGTCAGGATTTCTGAGAAAAGATTCATTCAAGCTACTTTTAAACAGAAAAAAGTTCTCACAGTTATTGTCTAAAGACACGATAATAATGTTCCAACGACTCATTTATTTCCCTTTTTTTCATGTCAGAGCCCTGCGAAGATGAAGTACTCGAAGCCGAAGCAGACGGTCCAGATATGGAGCCTGGCACAGAGATGGATCAGGGTAAACAGTCAAAACATTACAAACAGTAATGAATCCATCAAGTGTTTAACATGCGGAAAATAGCATTTTTGTTTACAAAGAACTCTCTTCATCAAAATGAAACGACTCAGATAATTAAACTTCCAAAGCTGTGTAATAATGAAATATTTGATGATGTGATGTGTAAATTCCAGATGACATCCCTTCGGATGCGGAAGCTGAGGCTCGTTTGCACCAGTCGGAGCACGATGAAGCGCTTCCCGAGGAAGACAAGAAATCGGAAAGCTTGGCAACAGCTTCCAGTATGGGTACATGTCACAAAACGTTTCTCTACACGATCACGCAGATATGTTTTCCACAAATAAAAGGCAATGAGCCTTTTCTTCTCCCTTTTGTGAATTCAGAACCATCCAGCATCGGCCTGCTGCAGAAGGACGATATCGTTCTTTTTCCGCTTAAACCATCCCCAGAACCTGAAACCCAGGTGAGATGATGCTTCAGAGGTTCAAAGCGATTAATGGCTTTTACCTGAATCCTAAACTCCTCTGTTGTTTGTTTTGTTTTGTAGATAAGTCCCGTAAAATCTCCTGGTCTCCGCTTTTTTCCTGATCCTTTCATACCTGAGGAAACAAAGCCAGAAAAGATGACTCCATCTCCAACTTCCAGGAGCCCGCTGTGCCCTTCACCTGCTCCTGTCCAGCAGTTGTCTCCTGTTCCCTCACCTACTAATGCTGCTGCTTCTACACCAGTTAAAACCCCAACTTCTGCTTCATCTCCTCCTCTTTCACCCACTAAACCACCTGCTGCCTCTCCACTACAGCCACCCAGTGAGTCACCTCTCAAGTCACCAGTGAGCTCACCAATTTGCTCCCAGCCTACACCCCTGCCCGAAACTGAAGGACCTAAATCTCCCGTCTTTCCTCACCGCTCCATTTGCCCTCTCACAGGAAACCCCCTCTCCCCGATCTGTGCCCAGCCGCTGCCCTGCCATGAACCCTCATCACCCCTCACCTCTGATTCTCCCGTCAGAACTCAGCCCGTCCCTGCAGTCACTTCAACGCCCTTGGCTAAAACCAACACGGCCACGCCAGAGCCTTCAAATTCCTCAACAGAAGAGACGCCGTCTAAAAAGACGGATATCATTGAGGAGTTCTGGTTGAAGAGTGCTGAGATAAGAAAGAGCCTCGGTCTGACTCCTTTGGACCGCAGTAGTAAAATCTTAGAAAGGAGTGTTGTTGAGACTCCACCTCAGGACTCCAACTTCGCTAAGACACAAACGGCAGACGTGTCCAGGGAACAGAAGCCTGCCTTCACTGGCCGGGCTGTCATTCGCAGACTCAACATCACTCTCGAGGGTCAGGTCATTACTCCTATCGCTCCTGTTGAGCCCAAGAGCGATGGCTCTGATAAAAGAGACATCAGCAGCAGCTCAGGCTTGGGCTTGAATGGAAGTGTGGCCACAAGCCAGACGGTAAACAGTGACGGCTATAACACGTCCGACTCGGCTATGCTGACACCACCTTCCAGTCCGCCACCACCCGTGCCTGCTAATCAGTCTCCAGCCGTGCTCAGGCAGCAGAGACACCAGGTGTCCTGGACCAACGGAACAGAAAAACTTCCATCTGAGCATGCCAAAGAGCCAGCAAAAGCCACTACCCCTGTTCCTGCACCCAGGACCCAGCTGAGCCCCGTATCTGTGCCCAAACCAGCACCCAGGAAGGTCTCCTCACCTCAGGCAGCTCCAGAAACAACCCCGGTGGTCGTGATGAGGGAGAAGAAGAGGGAGAAGCCACGGCCGCAGGAGACGAGGAAGTCATTTGTGGAGACGGTGGAGGAGATTCCTTTTGCTGACGATGTGGAGGAGAGCTACGACGACCGGACACCAGACACAAGCATGAACAGGTATTACACTCCGCCCACGAGCAAGCCGAGCAGGGAAAAACCTCCCCTTCATCTGGCACTAGCAATGGAAAATGGTAAACCCAATATCCCAGTCAACCCAGTCTCTAAGACCCAGAGGGCAACTCAGTTCTCTCCAGAAGCCAGGGAGATTGCAGAGGAGAGGATAAGGGCCAGAGAAAAATCTGTCAAGAGCCCGGCTCTAAAAGAAGCTATGGCCAAACAGTTGAGCAAAATGAAAGAGTCCGATGGGGAAAAGGGCGCCTCACCTAAAGTGGCCTGGAATGTAACACCAGACACTGTTGGAAAAAGTAAAAAGTCAGCTGCATCTCCAAAGACATCAGCTGTGAAAGCTTTAGAGTCAAAGAAGTCCGAGGCCCTGTCCGAGCGTTTCTTTAGCAGTAACAAGAGCCTGGACAGCTCGGTGGCTTCGTCAGACGGCTCCTCTACAAGTAAAAGTAAGAAACGAAGCTCCCTCTTCTCCCCGCGGAAAAACAAGAAGGAGAAAAAAGCCAAGAACGACAGCAGCAGGCTCTCGGGCGCAGATGAGACGCCTCCAAAACACAAGTCTCTGTGGAAGGCTGTCTTCTCAGGGTACAAGAAGGACAAGAAGAAGAAGGATGATAAGTCGTGCCCGAGTACACCGTCGTCCAGCTCCACTACTCAGGACTCTGGGAAGAGAAGGACATCACCTCCTGGGAGATCTTCGGGTAAGACTATTCTTCCAAAGCTCATTTCATGTTATGAAATTATTGATTGCTGATTGTTGTCTTTGCTTGTCGTTTGAAGTAGACTTGAAAACGCGTAGAAACCTGAGTTTCTCTGAAGATTCCGACCTGTCCTGTGACGATGTTCTGGAGAGATCCTCCCAGAAGTCCAAAGCAGATGTGAGCAAATACAAATGTCACATGGTTGTCTTTAGGGATTCATGCATGCACAGGCTTGCAACGCCAACCGGAGTTGCCTGGGGTCCTTAAAACCGCCTTTTTGGACCTTTCTTGAATGAATTTTACTCATGCAGGTTCATCTCATTAGATGTAAATCACAACTTAAAATCAAACTGTTGTGAATGAAACTCGTGCAGTCTGGCTTTGCAAGGCTATACATATCATCACGACATCCGCTGTACCAGTTTCTGTTTTGCTTCCTCTCGAAAATGTTTTTCTTTATGTAATCTCTTCCACTCCTAGAGGCATGTGGACATCTTTGACCTAGTATCAGGCATGCAGAAGGAGGCAATAAAGGAAGAGACACTGGAAAAGGAGAGGAGGAGGGAGTTGAAGGAAAAAAGGGGGGTGAAAGAGAGGCATAAAAAAAGGGGACAGGAGAAGGAGGTTAAGCGAGAAATGGAGAAAGACGACGAGGAGGTATTGTGCAGCAGGGGTTACATAATTTTGAATTTCAGAAAGTGTCATCTTTCTGAATAATGCCATTTAGCATCACCAATCTTTTAGTTAAAGTTCATATAACGTGCCGGTGGCTTTGCAAGCAAACCCCAGATAAATCTTTGCTATCATTTCATCTCTTTTTAAAGAGTTATTGGAATAAAATAATGTGTATATATATTTTTTTGACCTTGGGAGGTCTCAGAACAAATTATGATAAAAATATTTTCAAGGTCTGGACAAGTGAATTCTTTAAAAGATCGTAATAATTCAATATCCTGGACGCATAAATGGCGTTGGAACTATGCACATATTTGGAACAAGTCCTTAAATTTTAGAACATGAGCTCTTTTATTGGAATCCATTTGCACTCATTGCATTTATGGCTGAAATTCAGCATTATATTTGCCACTGCTGCCGAGTCTGTGTGTGTTTCTGGTGGTTTTAAATAGATAGAATTGTGCTCAGGGCCAGAGGCATGAAGCTCAGATGTACTCCTATTCTCTTTTGTTTGTGTATATTTTGGAAACGTGTACATAAATCAGCCACAACACTAAAGCCTGTGGACACCTGCGTCGATTTTCCCCCACTCAGGGCTTGGCCACAGAACCTCTGGGCATGTCCTGTTGTGTCGCCCACCGTGATATTGGCAGTGAATCCTTTTGGTTCTGTGGATCTGCTCTGGAGCGCTTTCATTGCTCCGATTGGTTTGCAGCAGGTTTAGGTCAGAGGTCGCAAACTCCAGTCCTCGAGGGCCGGTGTCCTGAAACTTTTCCACGTGTCCCTGTTGCAGCACATCTGAATAAAATTAGTAGGGCATTAGCAAGAGTATAGAACTTGACTGCATGCTGAGGTGGCAACCCCTCACCCTACTCAAGTAAATTTAAGCTTTTGGAAAAATGTACTTCTAAAAGAGCATGCAGTCAAGCTCTATAGAGTCTTGCTAATGACCTACGAAATGTATTCAGGTGTGTTGCAACCAGGACACATGGAAAAGTTTCAGGACAGCAGACCTCAGGGCCGGTGTCCTGCAGGTTTTAGATGCATCCTTGATCCAACACAGCTGATTTAAAGGCTAAATGATCTGCTCAACATGTCTTGATGGGCTGTATCCCAATTCAGGATCTGCAGCCTTAAAGTACGCAGCCTCAACGATCCTCAAGGGCCGCGTACTCAAGGACCGCTAAGGCCGGAAGTGAGAGGCTTGTGTAATGGGACGGTCCGTTGCGCTGCCCAGGTTGCCTAGCAACCATGATACTAACAGCTGGAAACGTGTCATACAGCTGTGTTTGATAGAAATGAAGGAGAAAATCTTTTGTTCATTTGTTTGTTTCTACATGAGCTTTGATCATTCTCTGATTAAGCTCAGCTATTGGACGGCGTATATTTTAAAGTAAAGGCTTTAAAACCAAGTTAGTACAAACGTCACTAATGTCACATGACTTTGCCGACATGTGGCCAACAGTAATGTTTAATGTTCTTCGTTATTAAACATTTGCACATAAATAAGTGACATAATATTCAGTATTTAAAGTTTACTCTTCGGCCGCCCCTCATCCGCCGTTTTTTTTCTTCGGCAAAATTATCCACACCCACCGCTGCGCTATGCATTCTGGGATATGTTGGGCCACGAAGTCTACACCGCCACATCCTTAAAATTCAGGGAAATGAAGGACGCATTTGAGGGCCGCATTTCGAGCAGCCTTCGAATTGGGACAGCCTTCGTCGCGTCGCTGTGACGTAATCGGCCTTGAAATGCGGCCTTTAAGGCTGCAGAGCCTGAGTTGGGATACAGCCATGGAAAAGGTTTTCCAGGTTTTAGATGTATCCTTGATCCATCACAGCTGATTTAAATGGCTAAATGACCTCCTCAACATGTCTTGATGTTCTCCAGAGGCCTGGTCATGAACTAATCATTTGATTCAGGTGTGTTGACCCAGGGTGAGATCTAAACCCTGCAGGACATTGCTTTGCATCATGGTGTCTATGCTGCGGTGCTAACCGCTTCACCCGTCTGTGGTTTTGATGTTGTGGCTCGTTGTCGTTTGATGAATGTCGTTTTCTTCTTTGTAACGATTATTGATCTGAATTATTCACTTCATACGGCTGCAGTAACAGGAGTTTTAAGTTGTATCATGCCTCTCAGCCATGTGTGAGTCAGTGAGAGCCCCTGAGAAATCTATAGAGTAGTCTCTCTTTTTTTTTTTTGTCCCCATCCCTTTCAGATGTGTGAATACTAGACAAGACACAAGCGTCATAGTTGTAGTATTGGACACAACATCTCATCATAAAACATTTTACACTTGAGTTTCTTGGTCAGTGTCACAATTTTGTAGTTAATGTAGATGTTTAACTATTTCATTCCACCTTGTCTTTTTTGTGATCTTAACGTTGCCTGTTTCGATTGTACCAACTAGACTGTGACTCACTGTTCTGTTTATTTTACTTTTGTTTATTTAACATAATCATTAACCCATTTAATCATATCATCTGTATCATGTTTGTTTCCTCCCTTTTATGTTTCGTCTGCCCCAAGTCTGTTTATGTCCCTCACGCACTGGCGTTCAAGAGATCGTATGCCACAAAGGTAGTATTACATACATTCCCGCTGATAACCCTCCTGCACCCCGTCTCGTCTTCCTGCACACGTGCCAGTTTACTTTCATAACACCCTGCGTAGGCTTGGCCTAAAGCTAATCGTTGTTCTGTCTGGATGCATGCGACAGTTGGACAGCAACGCTCGCTCACTGACTGCTGAATATCCACTCTGTTATAACACGACGTTTCCAATAGCGCTCTCTTTTCTGGTCACCGTGATACCTCTGCATCTGTTGACACCCCAGGCTGTTATGAGATTAATCTGTCACTGCGGCTCTGTATTTACTCCAGTCTGGCTACTGGAGGACCTTTTCATATGTTTTCATTCATGTTTTCTCTTTCTGCCGTTTTGCGCTAGCTTAAATGCTCATCCATGTCAGCTTACAGCGGAAACATCTCTGTTTTTTGTCACATATGTATTATCTATTGTGGAGGATTATAACAGAGCTTGCAGCAAAGTTTATATGAAGTATGTTTCACACTGTGTTTTATGCAAGCATAACTTTTCTAGCCCCCGAGAGTGCCGTAGATGACCGATGGAGCTTTAAATAGCATTAGCCACTTTCCTGTTATCTCCTCGCCCTGTTAGAAGATCCAGAAAGTTCCCCTCCTCAGCTTGTCTGAGTGCTCAGCACCTCACGGAGCCACCTACACACATTAGGACCTTGTGGATGAGACTTTTCTGATTTGCGTTTTGTTATTCCACACAGAAAACCTACACGGAGGAAGAGCTTAATGCCAAGCTGACGCGTCGAGTCCAAAAAGCTGCACGACGACAGGCCAAGCAGGAGGAACTGAAGCGGCTCCACAGAGCCCAGGTTTGTCCTTTCTTCTTTCAAAGACTGCTTTCCTAATATAATTTGGGAATTCAGTTTCCTGCATTCTTCCCCTGGTGCTTTTTACCATTTGGTCACTCCTAATGTTTTGAACTGAGGCCAGATTCATCCATGGTGATTGATGTTGTAACTGCAGTCAGACTCCCGTTCCCCTGACTCAGCACTAAGCTCTCCTTTCTCCTGGAGCTGTCATTTGCTGGCCTCAGTTTTGCTTCCCTTTACTGGCTATTTGCAGGACCCCACAGGACTTCTTCTATTTCAGCTCCCAGTTCTGTGTGGCACAGATAAACCCAAGACCTGACAGAAGCTGTTACAGGAGATTCGAGAGGGGGGGAAAAACCTTTTCACACAATTTGTGTGCTATAAAGCATCAAAAGTTTCAAATTAAAACAAAAACAACTTCAAATCAAGTCACAGAGAAGATGACAAGCGACTGAAATCTGCACGTTTTCTTGGGGTTTTTGACAAATTAATACAAATGTCCCGTGTGGCTGTGGGCGTTAAATGTAGTTGTCGTCGCCACTTCTGACATTTATATTTCAACAGCGTAAACAGCCGCATCGACTGAGTGTTCCCTGTGTGGGTTTAGGGGGGATTTCTAATTACTGGTAGTTAGTTATCACCCTGTGCATTTATGATACTGATGTGCCTCTGCTGCTGATCGTCTCCTCAGATCATCCAGAGGCAGTTGGAGCAGGTGGAGGAGAAGCAGAGGCAGCTGGAAGAGAGGGGCGTAGCTGTGGAGAAAGCTTTGAGAGGAGAAGCAGGTAATAACTCGTCAGTCATACTTGCATATATCGATTTTTTTCATTCAGTTTGGCTTCCTATGTGCGCGTGCATTTTTAATATCGCGTATTAGACACCTCACTTGTTAATGTTTTACAAGTACTTTGCCATAAATTTGACGTAAGATCTTGGTCATGAAAGCTGCTCACCAGAGGCCGCGTTTTATCTTTACACGATATGAGTTCAGAGTTTTCTAGAGCTCCAAAGGGAATAGTAATAACAACCGTCAGGGTTACGTAACTCAGCAAACCTGTCCCTCTGCGCTCATTTGATTGTGCTGAAATCACTGTGTGCGTTTACCATTTATTCACTTGTGCCGAAGCATAATTCAGCACATGATTTCGTATGCAGGAAAAACACATTTATTTCTCCAAAGTAATAATCCCGAATTGTTTCTGACAAGGGACTATCACAGACGATATACTTCCGAAATGAGAAATAAATAATTTCTTTGAGAGCAGCACAATTTTTTCTAAGCATGAATTGTGCTCAGTAGTAATAATATAATATTTACATGATGTAGATTTGCATGAGGATAAAGTACGAAGGTTGACTTTGCAGCACTGAAATGATATTCC